CCTTCCCCTCGACGGTGTGGCGAGGCGCGTTTGTTACGGGGATCAGCAGCCCTTTGCCCGCAGGGTGCTCAGGCCACGCAAACCCTGCCTTGCGCAGTGTCCGTTTCCATACCCGCAACGCCCCCCAGGGAGTCCGGCATGTATGACTCTGCCCCCAAAACTTACTTTTGTTACGTTTTCTCACTTTCTCGTGCGCTATTTATTGCTCGAAAAATTGGGTCGTTAGATCACCAAGCTGATAATTATGTAGTATTCCTTTTATTTATTTATTTTTTTCCTTCAGAGATATCAGTTTCTTTTGCTTTCTTTCTTGTTTTCTGCTTCATAAGAAGGCTTACATCCCAGGGGCTTGGGGGTGTGTGGAATGCAAAGCATATTGCAGAGATGAAGTTCAGAGATTGCCCTGCCTAGATGTGTCTGTTTGACTTCTGTAATGCTTATTGCGTCTCTGAGCGTTTTAATTACATACAGAATACAGTTATGCTTATAGGGAAATTCTTGGAGACTGGGCTTTTCATGCCATGCTGCTTTTCCTAATTAATAGATACAAGATTGTATTAAGAGACTCCTAAAATACTTCATTTTCTAATCAGAATTTTTATTTTCCTGGCAAATACAACAGTATTGTGAAACTTGATGGGTAGCTTGGAAAAGCTCAGGCTTGTGCTGTTGTGTTCTCTGCTGGCACTGCCAGCCGAGGATCTCTACTACTTTTCACAAAAGTACAAAATTATGCTTGCTTTATGCCAGTTACTTGTGCAAGAAATATTTATTAGAAGCTTCACTATTACTACTCAAGTGGTAGGAACTACCGTATATGAGGTATTTTTGCCGATTTGTAGAATGCAGATTCTCTGCTCACCCGATGCTTTTGTGCTATCTTTCCCTGTTGGAAATGCATAGTTGGCCAACCGTTGACGTTGCATGTGGTTATTTGAGAAAGTTTTAAACAGAAAAAGTATGTAGTAATTGGTCTTGCAGGTGCATAGCATTAGTATTTCAGAGAATATGCTAAAATGTGTATTAAATCTCCGTTCTGCAGAAAAAAGTAGTGCTGGCATGTATCAAGTGACTTCCCATGTGTTTTTGATCTCAGCTGACTTAGTTTTTCATTAGCTGTTAGCTGAAATGCTGATTCTCTAGTCTTGCTCCCCTAAGATGCTTTTCGATTCACAGCTATAATTGTATAAAAACTTAAATAGTAGAATTTTGCTGTGCTTGTGACATGCTTTATTAATGAAGGTTGGATTTATTAATTTATTTAAATAAATCTCTTTACCAGCCTTTGGCAAGTGAACAAATCGTGGTAGTTTTCTAAGCTTTAATGCATATTTACATTTATTAATCTTATGGTTTACTAGAACAAATTGGTAAATTACAAGACCTTTGTGCCCGCTCCCCAATTCATTGAAATCAAGTGTTTAGCGTTTCATTTTTGGTAGAGAGGGCTTTCATGAACACTTGAATGGGCAATGCTTAGGTCAGTTACTGTCTCTGAGGATTGGACCACGTGGATAGATTTGTATTTTTTTTTTCTATGAAACAAGAACATTTCCCTTTTGAGCATAATTTTTTTTCTATGAAACAAGAACATTTCCCTTTTGAGCATAGCAAACGTTTCTTCCAGATGATCTTTGACTTGTGTTAGGTGATCTGAGAAGTTAGTGCCCTCCTGGGTACCTGAGCTTGAAATTGAAATTAGTGGTTTACTCTGGATTGTTTGGATAATTTTGGATAACTTTGTTTCGCACTGAATGCAGTAGCTGAGGATGCACTTGCACATTTCTGATCGTTGTTAGATGCTGAGAGGAGTATATTCTGTTCTGTTCCCTTCCTTGCAGCAGCTTTGGCACTTTCCCCACTGCGCAGAGAGCCAACTTAGTTTATTAATGGGTTTCTGGGCTCGTGAGTTGAACTAGCTTTTTGTAGTGTGCGGTGAATGCTAGAGCCAGCATGAGAGATGGAGCCTTGAGATGAGGACCTGGGGAATAGCGTCATTGCTCTCAAGGCCAGTGGCTGTTATATTGCTTCAGCTGTATTACCTATTGCACCCTGAAAAGTCAGTATATGCTTCTGTCAGTGGATGGCTGCCTCTGTCAGAGGAGAAGGCTGGGCTGCTGTAGCTCTAAATTTTCCAGGGTGATTTACCTGTGATTGAAGGCCCTCCTAGTCTGTTCCTGGATCTGGAGATATAGCTATGAAGATATCTAATGCACCTCTTCAATTAGAGAAACTACTGCTCTGCATAGGAGAATAGTTTGATAATTCTTTAATCTGACACAGCATTCATGAGTGCTAATGCTGGCAAAAGACAGACTGAGAATTTGTCACTGGAGCTGGGGAGTTGGGGTGGCAGTGCTCTAGATACCCTTTTCAGTAGCCATTTGCATAGACTCTGGTTTCACAATCGGCTTTAAATGTGCCAGTTCAGCTGTCAAGCTTTAAATCAGATCTGTGGATTGTGGTTTTACAAAACAAACAAGCAATATTTAAAAAACAGAAGCCTACAGTTTTTTCACTGCCTCAGTTGTGTGAATGAGCTCTTTGCAGCTGTGTAAGTGCAGCTGGAAAGCGTTAACCTCCAGGGCAGGGGGAGGAAATTTCTTGCACTGCCAAAGGGTTCATCACTAAAGTGCATCCTGAGTGTGGAAAGTGTAGACCAGGCTAACTTGTTCTAACCTTACTAAAATAGTTTCAAAGAACAGGTCACTGAAACCAGGAGACAGTTAACAGGATCAGCAGCTATTCAGTTTGTAATGTGGTTGAACCTGAACATGCAGATATGTAAAGCAGCTTGTCTGATACGTGAACTACAGAATGCAGATCAGTTAAGCTTGATTGTATTCATATTTTTAGCTGAAGTTGAATAGATCCTTGAAAGTCCTATCAGTGCTTGTATGTATGTGCAGTTGGTCCTTGAAGAAAATATTCCTGTAAAAGAATAATTGATGCAAATATTATCCTGGAATACTTATTAACAGTAGAATAATTAGGCAGTGCCCTTGGTTCACAGTGTGTGTTTAGCATTACAGTATCTTAACAAAAACAAAGCTTTGTTTCTGTGTACAGTGGCTGCTTTTTAGAAGGGTTATCCTTGAGCATGCCTCGGTGTTGGGACTCTGAATTCTTTGTTGCAACTATCATGGGCTCAAAGTTTTTAGGATAGTTTTGAGTGCTTACAAGGCCAAGGAATGTGTAAGAAAAGTGCTTATAATTAAAAGTTCACATGAAAACTTCTGATTTCTGCAAACTCTTATCAAAACAAGTGAGGAAGGTTTTAATGGAACGCTAAGGAAAAAATAACAGGTTGTTAGGCTGGAGATCAGGTTAGCTGGTTGCGTCGTTCCTTTTGGCCTTTCTTTATGTGTAAAACTTGCTATTTTGGACTTCTGAAGCATTAGAGGTTCATGCACAAAATCATAAAACAAAATCTAGCTGTTGTTGCATTTCATAGTTAAGAATGCTTTGTCATAGCAAAAACTTTTCTAGATTACTATTTTAGTAGATGCTTTTAACACACTGCTGTTTAACTAATGGGAAGTATTAGCTTTCTTTTATCTAGTAAAACGTTAATCCCTTTGCATGTTTCTGCACTTTTACAAATTAATTAAAAAGAAAATGTCTTAAGTTCCAGTAAAGTAAGGATAATTTGCTAATGTGGTTATATTTTTACATCAGATATTTTGTTTTTTACTTCTGTAGTCTTTGTAGGTTAAAAATGACTGAGCTGCTTTGGATAGGTCCTGTTTTTTCAAGTGGAGAAATCGGATTAAGATGTTTCAGCTTGGTATATTATCACCTCTGACAGCCATTAGGTGTTTTTCATAAGCATCCCTTTCTGTAGTAGTTTATGCGTATCCATGTCTTAGTAGCTGATACTTGCGGAGCTTTATCCTTTACAAAAAGAGTTAAAGATCATCTTGTTTGTCTTTAACATCTATCTACCTTTTGTATAAAGGGTGTATCCCTTATCAAGCTGAAAGGTGGTGGAACTGTGGGGAAGGATGTTTGAAAGGAATGATAGACATTTAGAAAAATACTTATGTGCTACACAGGTCTGCTATCTGTTGTCACTACTTTGACAGCCTGTGCTAAAGGTTATGCTGATTGGGTGAAGAGGGGTGACTTCCAGAGTCCGTGGGCTCCTGAGAGTCTGTGGACTAATCCTGATGATCTGAAAAGGCGTGTGTGTTTTCTGTAGGCTTAAGTTTGCTTCATGGGCTTTCATGCCTTTGATGGAAGAGCTCTATTCATCTGAATATTGAAAATTTAAGACATTGAATTGAAAACTTGATATCTAAGCAAATGCTGATGGACTAGATATAACAGCATGTAGACGTGGAATTTAACTGCATTTTCCGTGCTACAAAAATAATAGCTTTCAGTGTGAAGGGTTATTTTAAGTGCCAAATTAGATATACTGATTTTTCAGTATATCTGTTTTTTTTTTTTCTCATGTCTTTTAAGTGCAAATTGGGACTCAATTTATACCAACCGATCAGTTAATATTTTTGGATGGTCTTATGTTTGTGTTCTATGTAGTATAGTTTTCAACCTTAATTCTGTGCTTTGTAGCTGTGGCTTTAGTTGTGTTTTATATAGTGAGTACTTTAAAGAGAATTCAACGTTTGTGCCCCTCCCATGGACTGTAAAGTCTGGCAATGAAAGATAAAGGAGTTTGAAGTTCACAAGGCTTCCAAAGGGGTGGATATATCTTGCAATTGGGCTTGCAGTAGTAAGTATTGCTGTATGAATTAAGGGAAAACATAAAATATGTTAAAAGTCCCTTTGGGGAAATGTAAATGCTTCTCAATGTTTATGAAAACTTCCCATTTCTTTAACTGAATGAAAACCATATTTACCTGTTTTCCAACTCCTCTGAGTAGGAGCTGACTCCATATCTTTCAATCCACAGCTTTTAGTTAGAGTGAGAACCAAAAATAACTTTACTGTAGTTTTTCTTACAGTGTTCCTGTACTATAGAGAAATTCTTGCTTCAATGTGAAAGAAAGGAAAATATCAGTAGCTCTGTAAGGCTGAAGGTATTCAGTTTAAAATTTGGGTCTACTTGGTGAGGGTGGGGGAAAAAACACTTAATAGTTTCATTTTTCTCTTATGCAGGAATAAAAAACTACTCTAACTGGCCTACCATCCCACAAGTATACCTCAATGGTGAATTTGTTGGTGGCTGTGATATACTCCTCCAGATGCATCAGAATGGCGATCTAGTAGAAGAGCTGAAGAAGTTAGGAATCCGTTCAGCACTTCTGGATGCAGAAAAAGACCAAGACAAAAAGTAAAACAAGCAAAAAGATGCTGTTACAGGAATAAAGAAAATCTTTGACAAGAACTTGTTACCAGAGAAGCCTTATGTACTTTTTCTCAAAGAAGGCATCTTTTTGAACTGACACTAAGATTTATCTGTGAATGTCTGTTAGCTCATGGTAAATATGTAGTAATCGTGGTATTCTGATTTATGGATATTGTTGTGAAAAATAGAGTATAACCACTGCACTGTAAAGCATACATTTGTGGGAATGGTGCAAAAAATGTTCACATCTAAAAGGATTATCTTCTTGATTGAAGCACGAGTAAACCAAAAGATCTAATATTATTTTTATGGATTGTCTGTGTATGTTTTCTTATTCTTTGATACATGATCCTATGCAAACAGTGTTTGCAGTTCTCTTGCTTCTTTTGGAAAAAGTGTTGACTAATAGTACATCAGTTTTTTTGTATAAACACCTGGTGATAAGACTTCCTGAGAGCCTGTAAAATGCCTGTAACCTCATACAGTGTAGGAGAAAAACAGTCTTCAACCAATATAGAAAATAAGTAATGTGAGAGTGCATGACACATGCTTTTATTCCAAAGGGTAAAAATAAACACACTAGTACAAATACATGTATAATGGTCGTTATTACTTTGTAACTTGCTGATGGCTTTTAAAAGACTGCTGAGAATTGTGCCTGAAGATTTTATAAAACTTTTTCTACCTCTTGCAAAGCGGCTTTCCCTCCTGCTTGTGTACTTTTTGTATTGCAGTTTCTGTATCAGTGCTAAAATGTGGGAATTGCTCAAGGCTTCAGTATATTTGCTTGAAATAGTACAGGAGGAGAAGAGTTGAATTACTTACTGTAATCTTGTACTATTTGCTAGTTACCAAGTTGTCTTTTTAGATTTGTTATATTTCCAAGTATTTTCTCCTGACTGGCATGCTTCAAAGAGTATAGTCTTCAAACATGGGATAAACAAGTGTTTTGTGTAGATAATGAGTGCAGCAGAAAGGCCACTGACCAGATAAACATTTCTTTGTTGGAAAGACTCTAAAGTCTTCATAACCTATGTAACCCGGTTTCCCAAAGTTAAAAGAAGTTATCTTAAACAGTGCAGCCTCAGCTGTACAGCAATACTGCTAAAGTAAAGTTTATCAAGCTGTTCCTAAGTGTAGTTTACTTTTATTAATAAAAAACAATGTTTGCATGTGAATTAGGCAAATGATTGGAAATAAACTGTATTTTATGTTGGTTGTCTACAATATTTCCTTTTTTCCCCCCCGATAACAAAACTTATACTACTCTTTATTTGAATATATTCTGAAGAACTTTTCCACTACATATGGTAGAAAAGGTCTTTTGAGAGTAAGGAAGGATTATGAACGGTCAAGGAAAGAAGTCAGGACTGTCATCTGCAGACTAGCATGGAACAGGAGAGGTTTGATGCAAGTCCCAGTTCTAAATCCCTTCTTTTCTCTTGAGCAAGCTGTCTAGTGCTGAAACTATATACAGAATTTACAAAATGTATGCCAGTTATGGTAAACCTACTGTATATTTTAAATGTAGTCAGCATCACCATGATTAAAGAGTGTGTACATCCTCTAAGTATTTACTCTTTCCTGAAATAGATAGAGCTGCTGAGCTCCGACACAAGTAGAAGTGACTTGAACAATCACTGATTATGAGTAAGCTACACTTGAAGGCAGTCATTTGTGACTGTAAATCATGTACACATCATGAGTGCAAGAATTTTACAAGTGTAAGAATATTACATTCATGAAATGGACTCAAGCTCCATTCTGTGCATTCCAGCTTTATCTTTTTCTGAATTCAATTTAAATAAGATGTCTTTCTTGCAATTAAACTTTCATGAGTAATTTTTGCCATTCTGAATGTGAAATTAAGTTTGGAAAAATATGTGAGCTTCAAAAGACTTTATTTGTGTCAAAAGACCAATTGAAATTAATGTACGCTATAAATGAAGAATAAGGTAACTTGGAGAAAAGTCAATGATTTTCTGCTTCAGCAGTTAACTTTTAGTCTGACTATTTGCTATTTCACAGAGCACTCTTTCTTATTCTATGGAAGTTGAATGCTTTTCTCTGCTGCTAGTTTAGCATAAATATAACTTTAGCACTGTCAGTTCTTCTTTCTCCTCTACACAGTCAAAATTTTTCTCCCTGCAGGAGTTTCTACTCCTATTCCGTTTAATAAAAATTCAAATAGCTGCCTCTTAGACTTCTTAGCTTTAATTATCGGTTAAAATTTTGTGTGATGTACAATACTATTTAAATCAATCATTTGCCTGATTGTAATGTGTTGTAATTGAGTAAGTAAATGGAATCAAATGCTGTAAAGCACATAGAGCAAAGTTACAGAAGTGGGAGTATAATACGTGACTTCTACCTGCGTTCTTGTTCAATCTGTACCTTTTCAGTCTTTGTGTTCATGTGCAGTTATTTTATCTATTACATCCATGTAAATACTCATTAATCCCACTGCAGTACGAAATCAGCATCTGTTTAAGGTGTAAAACTCCAAATGCTCACCAAGAGGCTATTTTAGGAGTTGACTGAGAGTCTTTTCCTAACAAACTAGTTCTCATTTGGGTTGATAGTTTTAGAAAATGCTCGATATTGTGTACTCTGCTGATCAGCTATTACTTTCCCTCAAAGTAGAGTCAAAAAAGGAGTGTAAGCTTACAATCACAAATGAAAATCAAATGAGCTGATTTTTATGGAAAAAAGCCATGCCTCTCATTGATGAGAGATTAGCACTCACTTTCCTCGTGCACTTTGGGAAGTAAGAGAAGGCAACTAGTAACATTAGAGTCTGGGGTGATAATGGTGGATGTACTGAACTCGTTGTCGGGGGGCTGGTGCTGGCTGAGTTGGAAAGATCAACAAGGAGTTCACGGTTGGGGTGCTGCAAGGGATCCCAAAGGTGAAAGGGTGACTTTTTTCCCACAGGAGGAGTTATTTGTGGTTGAGCAGAGGAGGCAGCAAATGTGTGGGGGATAGTGTGGAAAACCCGCTGGGCACTGCTGCTCTTGCTTTTCTGATTCCTCTCCAGTAAAACGGTGACAGAGTAGGAAGCAGAAGAGGTAACAGCGCTCAGGAATACAGCTTGAGAAGGCTGTAGTGGAGTAGGTCTGGCTGAAGTTCCTGAGAAAGACAACCAAGAGCAAAGACAGAGCTGTCTATGACATCTTTCTCTGGTGATGAAAGAAGCAAAGCTGCTTGGTCTTGAGCTTTGTATGCTGCGGTAAGAATACATCTCAGCGAGATAGGTATCAAGGCTGTGACTGCGTACTGCCACCTGCACTGTTTCTATTCATCAAGATCAGTTGTACCGAGTTGCCAG